TATATATATATATCCTGCCCTGTGTGCTGGCAGGAGGGTGGAGTTTAATGCCTCTCTTTCCTAACCAACTACCGGACACTCCGCCTCTCTGCCCCCGGACACCGAGCTTCCGTTGCCGGATTCCAGGGTCAGACACTCGCCGGCGGCTCCGCCACACAGTCTGCTGGACCTGGACGAACTTCGTGTGACTGCAGCGACACTTTCAAGTAAAGAGGCTCGGTACCGCCACGTTAGCGAAGACTGCTTTGTGTTCTTTCCGGGAAGTTTCCTTTCTTTGAACATCTGTACACCTCTGGCTTCAGGCTCGCGCTCCGACACAACAAAAAAAAAAGAAAAAGAAAAAGTGGAAAAGTGAGTCGTCAGCGCCTCAGTCAGACTGAGTCACACACAGTTTAAAAGTTTTACCGAAGGACTAATGACTTCTTTCTTTGTGTCGACTGCCTGTTCCGCTTTAGACTGACTCACTGGCAGACAAACACTCATCCACCCAGACAGCTGCTCGTCTCTCTCCGTGTCTGCCGGGCCCCGAGGCTGGAGAAGCAGCCGAGCCGGGCCGCAGCTTTCCGCAGTTTTCCGGCTCCTGTCAGGTGTAAGGCGTGGCGCTGGGCGTGGAGGAGGGGGGCTTTGTTCCAACCACACCTGAGAGAGAGAGAGATATCTGTAACCCGAGAGCAGGGCTGAGCTGGAGCCTGCCCGGGTTGAGGAACTGATAGCGGTTTATTTGCCTCAGATGAAAATATCTGCCATTGGTCTGGTTTGTCCCCGGTCACGCGGACCCGAAATGGACCGTAATGACAGATCGCACTTCTTCCATGTTTGAACCCCCGGACGGACGCGTGGAAAGTGGGTCAGAGCAGAGTGGTTTCAGTGTTTAACTATTTACTGACCGGCGGGTTTACTGGGGGTCATGGCGCTATCTCAGGTCCAGTGTCTAGACGATCACCACGTCAACTGGCGCGTGAGCGAGAGCAAACCGGAGTTTTTCTACAGCGAGGACCAACGGCTGGCCCTCGAGGCACTCATCGTCGAGGGCCGCGACGCGTTCACGGAATACATCAGCAAGCATGGCGTCCGGGAGTTCCTCTCGGAACCGGAGTTGGAGCGGATTGTACACATGGCGGAAGCATACAGGCCCGGCTACGAGCATCTCCAGAAACCCGGGACGCCAGGGCCAGGGAACACAACTCCGGGGCCCTGGGAAGAGACCGGAGACGATGAGGTGTCTCTCGAGTACTGGCCGGACCGGTCTGAGGGCTCCGTGGCAGAGCTGGACCTAGGCTGGCCCGAGGCCATCTCATACCGAGGGGTCACGCGCGTGACCGTGCACACACAGCCTCCAACCGAGGGGCACACGCACATCAAGGAAGTGGTGCGGAAGAGCATTGCGTCAGCCCAGAAGGTAGGCAGAGAAGAAGATGGAGTTTAGAGGTTCTCCACCAAAACAGAAACGCTTCACAGTGACGAGAATTAACCAGTTAGCTTATTGTTTTTTCACCTCTTTATGTTGAATTATGTTAATATTCGCGATTTGATGCTTGGATTTTTATCGCAAGGTGTTTTTATTTGACTCCTCCATTCATGTAGCCAAAATGTGGGGGACAAAACACATCTTAGCTGAGTACAAATTCATGACGAGCAGCATAATACAGAGACCTGAAACGCACCACAGCACTGAGTCAACGCAGCAACAGGAAACCGCATTAACAACTCATCAAAAACTGGAGTGCATTTTCTGTGCTGGCAGTGAATGCACCACAGTGAATAATTGTTTTCAATATTTCTCCAGTCAGTGAATGTATAAAGAAGTTCACTGCCACAAACCCGCAAGTTTCAAAACAATGCTTCACCATCACATTAAAGCAAAGAAGAAAAATCACTTTGTGCACTTAATAAAAATGATTTTGCTTGGCGTTAAAATGATTAGGCGAGTAATCAGTTAGTGGTCTGACAGGAAATTACTGTTGTGCCTCATCTGAAAAACACTTTGGCAATTAAGATTAATTGTTAATGACAATAACTCTTCTATCAATCTATTTATTTGTTGGCTGTTGCTGTTTGCATGATCGTTTTATCTTGTTATTAATATTTGTCTGTTGCCACCATGATGCAGAGCACAGCACATTATGTTAGCCTGACTTTTCTGTCACCTTTCTGTCTTCATTTCATAATTTGCCACAGACCCGTCTCAGAAACCCGCTTCCCTTCATTATAGTTTAAATAAAACAAGTCCTGTCTTGACACGAGAACAGAAAAAAGTGGGGGGGGGGGGAGGAATGCCCTGACATCACTGAATTTGTCACATGCCAGCAGGCTTCCTGTCACATCCATAAATGCTGGTACATGTTCATGCAGTAGTCCAGCTTTGCACCTGAGCGACAAAAGAAACATTGAGGCTTAAATGAATCAGACTTAGTGCCAAAGAGAAAGGCTGGTTTTCACCGCACATGTATTTTCACAATAAACGTAATACAAAAAACATGAAACATTTCAAGACTTATCATCATTTTCCAAAGTCTACCTAATGCTGCTGCTTTAAACGTAATCTTTAAGCTGGATCACATAAAGAGAGCCGCCTGTCTCTACTGTTGCAGCGTTGCGCAGCACATACTGTCCACCCACATTTTATCACCTCTCTGCCAAAAAACAGCCTCTGTTCCTAACAGGCTCTAAACTACAGGAATATTATGCTCAAATTTCTTGTGTTCCCAGCTTCCTTTGGGGATTGAATATCGCTGATAAAAGCAGCTGAAATAGAACCCACCCTCAGAGACCAGGAAGCACTAACACTAACATTTGTGGTTTTCCTCTATGTGTATGTGTGCTGTTATTTTTTTTTTGTTTGTTTTTTTTAGGTGATAGCTGTGGTGATGGATGTGTTTACAGATGTGGATATCTTTCGAGACCTGATGGATGCAGCCTACAAACGCAAGATTCCTGTGTACATAATCATCGACATGGCTGCGGTGCCCTGCTTTCTTTCCATGTGTGGCAGAGCTGATATGCACCGTGGACACCTAAAGGTTTGTATTGCCAGTCACATGCATGCACGCATGGATGATGTTTTGCTGGGCTAGTTATAAAGAAGGGTACGCCCAATAAGTATACAGTAATGGGGAGGGGGAGGATTGGAAAAAACATCTGTTATTAAAGACACCTTTTTGAAATTATATTGTCACTATACAAAGGAACATTTTTGGGCGGCCCATGATTGATGTAGGTTGCCAGGTTTGTGCCTGCGGGTATTTGTGAGGTGCATGCTGCAGCTAGTTTGCAATAGCTTGGTTTTCTTTGTTATTCTCTGGCTCTCTTAAGTTGAGTTGAACTGGTCTAGGCAGTAACAGAAAATACTTAAGAGTTTCACGGGGGATTTTTTTTGGACTGGAGGCCAGAACGACGGCAGTTAAATTCCTGTCTATGCTGCAGGCAATAAAACCACACAGACTTTTTACTTTCTGTAACATGTTTTCCTTTCGCTTCTCCTTATTCCTTCCTCACGGCATTTACCGCATTGCCAGTCTCTTTTTTTATCTGACATCTCTTCCGTTATTGTGAGCGCCATCACTCCCGTTGTTAATGTCCCCTGTGAGATTTCACACACAGCGTTTACTTACGAGGTAACGCTCAGCCTGTCAACCACACCCTTATCACAGAGCCGAACACAAACACCACAGGGTGTGTCAAACAGGCATGCACGTACGTAGATAGAAAGTCCATGCTCTAACCTGTAGAGGCACCCAGTGGGAGACTATGGAGGTATTAAAGCTGAGCACCGGCTCTTGAGTAACAAGGAAACGCATTCTCTTCTGCCTCTCCATTCTCTTGTTTCCTCTATTTTGCCCTTTGTTCACTGAAACCTTTCCATCCATCAGCACTAAACCCTCTAGAGGCTTTGGTTACCAAGCACTAACCCTTTATGTATGTGTGCATGTGCAGAACCTGCGCGTACGCTGTTGTGGAGGCGTGGAGTTCTTTACGCGATCGGCACAGAAGGTGCGTGGATCTCTGAGCCAGAAGTTTCTTCTGGTAGATGGAGACAGAGCCATCTCTGGCTCCTACAGGTGAGCAGCGTTCATTTGTGTCTCTAAATCTGCACAATTACATATTTTAAATTAGCCGTTAATTGCATGACCTTTTCCACTCAAAAATAAACAGGCATCCGTGAATTTCCCATGACCTCTGTGGAGGGCTTTAGAGCCTTTCAGCTCGCTGTTTTGGTTTTCTGACCTGCAGGTTTACTGGTCTGGTTTAGTCTTACCCAGTCCTTCCTGCTGCAGCATGCAGCTGCTTGCAGGAAATGGCCTTAATAAATCAGTCATACACATGCATTCCATACAAGACACACAGAGCTAGTAACTAACTGGTGAACATGCTGGAGCCTTTGACCACCATTTGTGTTGAAGAGCTAAACAGACCTACACGGAGAGTGATTGCTGTTCTGTGTTTGCTAAGATAACACAAAAAGCGTAGCATCAATGTGGACAACTGCTTAAAGCCACTGTACCCCAGCTTTTCTCATTATTGATGGTTATCGTGGTTTCTCACCTGTCAGGGTCCTGACCTCTGAATCCACTCGATCCAGGTGCCTGATTCCTCCGGAAGTGTGACATGAATCGAATGGGTTTTTTTTTACTGTCAGCTTGTTGTTATGCATTGTGAGGCATGGCTAGTGAATTGTGTTTTGAGAAACAAGCGGATCAGTGTTGGCTTAAAATTGTTTGATTCAGACTGATTTGTTGGGGAAAATTGATTCCCCTCCCCAGCTGAAATTACAGAGTAAATGCAGACTCAGTGTCAGGCTAAAGATGTTGACGGAGTGTAAGGGAAGTATATTAAAGTCCATTGCTCTGCTTGTTTTGCTTTGGAGCCAGCAGTTACATGTCATAACAGTCACAATACGGTTTTGTTAGTGGCCAAAGCAAATTTTGAAAATTAGGTGTGTTATCCTTACCGTTTACTGTCATTTATAGTTGCTTCTTTACTGAAATGTCGGTGTAATGTGAGACTGGATCTGTTAGAAGGAATTTGAGGAGGAGTACTTATGCAATGTGATCAAAGACCAAAATGTGGTGCATTACATCAGAGTACAAAAGCGTGTTATAATGATTAAACTATTATAATCTCAGATTTCTGTTTTCTCAGTGGGAGCTGTGACTTGGAAGAAGGAGTTTAGATGTGATAAACAGGACTGGAATAGAGCTGGTAGGAAAAAAAATGTGCAAAGAAAACATTGAAGTCCCTTCTGAGACTTCTCTCCATTTCTGTGTTTTTCCAGTTTTACCTGGTCCTCGTCTCGTTTGGACCGTAACCTCATCACTGTGATCACAGGACAGGCAGTGGAGACCTTTGACCTCCAGTTTCGGGAGCTTTACCTCACGTCCAGAGGCGTGTCACTCAACAAGGTTCCTATGACAGACGAGCCGGTACCTGACCCTCTCCCTCAGGCGGCTCCTGCACCTGTGCCGGCTTCTGTTGCCAGGAAGCTCATCAACCCCAAATACGCTCTTGTCACCACGGGGACCCACATAAGTCCCACTTCATCTGACCAGAACTCCAGCAACAAGAACTCAAACTCCCAGAATCCCACTGGGCTAAAGATGATGAAAGCACGGCTGAAGGGCGTTATTGAAGAGCCACCCATACATCCAGGATTAGCCAATCTGGAAAAAGCATACCTGATTCCGTACCTGCCCACCTGGCCTGAGCCAGACCCACCAAGTGACGTGATTGGCTTTATCAACATCAGGGATGATAAGCGGGCCAATCAGGTTCACTTGCAGAGGTCGGAGAGGTTTGAGGTTAGTCAGGCTATACGCTTCAGCTCACCATTTTCACAGCCAGCACAGACTGAGCAGCCTGCTTCACATCCTGCAAAAGCTGCAGGATCAGCTGACACCCCCTCTGCAAATACAAGCCTGAAGCCTTCGACTCCTGTGAGTCCAACTAACAAACAGCTCCCATCCCCCGCAGCTCCCGACACAGACCAAACTGATTCCCCTAAACAGCCCAACACACCCCCAGCACAGGATGCACACACACCAGCTGCACAGACTTCCACTTCACCAGCTAGTGTTACTGCTGATTCACAGCCAACAGAAAATGCTGCAGAACCTCCACAGACACAACCTGTAGCACCTCCTGTTCCTAAACGCCGCACCCTGCAGCTGCTCATAGAACCTGCCTCCTCAGAGAAACCTGGTGAAGCGCAGGTCACTCTGGTAAAAATGGACCAGCTGGAGAGTCTCGAAGGCTCATTTAAGAAAAAGAGACCCCAGAAAGAGGTGACCCTGATACGTGGCCGCTTAACGTCAAAGGACAATGACCAGGACTCTGGGAGCAACGATAATGACAGCCAAGACAGCACCAAGGTCAACTGTGACCGAGCGGTCAATGACGAACCCTCGAGTAACTCCACAGCATCGGATGAGGAGTTTTACGATTGCGCGCAGCCAGAGCCCAATAACCAGCTAACCAATGGAGTGACAACAGGGTCCGGCCGAGGACAACGCCAAGGAGACGGTTTCAACATGATGGCCCGCTTCTCACAAAGCATGCTGGACTTGCGAGAGCCCAACCAATCAGAGGACAGTGCTGCTCTCATCCACCAATCACAGCAGCTGCGCAGACAGGAGCACCTCTCCCCACACAGGCACATAGGACAGGTGAGCACTCGGTATTACTGCTCGAGTGATGCTAAAATAATCAAAAAATGGGAAATCACACACACACATCCCTACAGCACTTTATCAATGCATACACACACACACACACACACACACACACACACACAGAAGGATGCATTAGAGGTCATTTGGGGTTCACTATCTTGCCCAAGAATGCATACAAGCATGAGGAGTCAGGGATCGAGTCGCTGACCTTCTGACCCTCTCTTTCACCCGAACCATGCATCAGTATATAAAAAAAAAAGTTCTATTTGTTCATGATTACCAAGTAGTATGAAGCTTTAGTGAGTTTGTAATAGAAGGTTCATTACTCTTTTTCATAGTGTCAAGTCACATTTTGTCAGATGTACACACAAGGTGTTGTTGCTGGACTCACTTCACATTCGTCACATATGAAAGCTCAGGAAGAACCTCTCGAAGTCACAGTTTAACACCTCAGTTACCCTGTGGTGTAGTCTTTCAGAGAGGAGTGTATTTTGACTCAAACTTTTATTTTTTTAAATCTCATTTTTTAAGTAGATCTTAGTGCCAAAAGAAAACCAAACAGCCAATGAAAACAAAACTAAGCCGTGAGTGAAACAGGACGTGCACTTCTCTCCTCTCCGGTCTTGTGATTTACTCTGTTGCCAACCCGCACGCCTGTTTAGGCACGGTTTAAAGCAAGCAATACAAACTGCTTTGTGACAGATATCCATATAATGTTTATAGCTTCACTTCTCAATATTTATTACCACTTAAAATGAAGCCTTATAAACATAATTTACCACTTTACAATAAACATGAATTATTATCTTTTCATTTTTTAACAGTAAGTAAATGTATTTGTGTTTCTATAAAGTGTTGCCAAGAGTTTAAGTGACATTTTTAAGCTTTTTAAAAACAAGAACACACTGTTTTACTGCATAATCTATATTGAATATCTTCTTTTACAAAGATGTCAGTGTCAGGCTATATTGATGAGTCGCGTAATCATTCGATTAAAAAAAGAAAAAGAAAAAACAAAACAGCTTAATCCATTAGGGAAGTTTCTGCCCTAGATGACACAATGCTTAATCTTTTAAACGTTTTTAATGCGTAATGAGTAATCACTGACAAAACCACTGCTGAAATTCCCAGAAATTGTGATTGCTGTCCAAAAGTATGCAGCACTTACTGGAAAAGCACACATTTATGTAACCCACGTCAAAATAGGCGTGTCTCATCAGTGGTACCAAAAGCAAGTCCCTACCTGCTTGCGGTACATGCTTACATGACATATTTTTCCCCTCCAATTTAAAAGGTATTTGCGTGTCTGTGCGCATGAGCGACTGAGCACCCACGCTCGTGTACACTCACCGGGGTAGAGAGCTCGACTGATCATGCCAGGGAGGACGATGAAGATAAAGGGCAACATCTTTAGATAGGCGGCAAAGATGGAGGCTCCTTTCACATGACTCATGTTCTTAGCCGATAGGGACCTTTGTACGATAACCTAAACACACAGAAAGGTGCTTAAAAATATTTCCATAAGACATAATCAGGTAACATATGGTGTAATAAGATATAAATGAATATAATAAATAGTAACATTTCCTGTTAACAGTAGAGAAAAACATGGATAATGAATAGCAGTGGCTCCAGAATTGACCCCTGAGGTACTCCTTAGAGAATAATGGAGGATTTAGAGTTTTAATTCCCTCTCTGTGCTCTTTCTGCTTAGTTGTTTCAGACCTCTAGATCTCCGGGTCGTGATGCAAGAGCGAGAGGACCAACAGTAGTTATCGCCAAACCAGGAAGTTATCATCGGCCCACCCGAGCAGCTGGCCCAGTGATAGGAGGTTACCGCTACTGGCAGGGCCAAATGCTCCAGCCTGACTCGGCCCAGCTGCGTGTAGAGACCCGCTCCGGGCGGTCACCGAGACGACACAGTCCCGGCTACAAGAAGGAAGCCCACACGTCACCACAGCCACCAGACAACCAGACGGGATTACTTGGAGTTTCTTTCTCAAAAATTAACACTTTTAAACACTTAAGAGCACGAGGAGGAGCACCGCAGAAGAAAGCACCTCAGAATAATAAGCCTGTCAGGTAGATCTGTGGGCCGGTCGGGGAACGTGAGGACATTAATGCTTCATTGTGGGATGTGTTGTTTTTTTGTTTTGTTTTTAATCCTCTTTTTGTTTGGAAACTGCGACGCAAAGCTTACAAGATCTGCTTTACTCTGATATCTCTGGGTGGTTTCAAATGAGTGACTGACCAAAAAGAAAGTTTGCTGACGTGTTTGTGCGGAAATAAACTCTGATAATAACATATCAGGTGTTTGTGTTTACAACATGCAAAACAAGATAGCATGCACTCTTGCAACTGATTTATGAGTGATCTGTTTTTTTTTTAAGATATGGTACTGTGTTTGGTCAGCTGTGATTCTCTTCAGCCAACCCATGTCACGCACCGTGCAGTGTATCTGTGACATGCAGGCTCTAGGCTCTAGTGTTGATATCATGGGGACTGGTTGCTGATGGTGAGAGGGTGTTGCTTTGAAATCACTGGCAGACTTCCCTGATTACCTTTGCAGATGTATGAACATGTGTGAAAAACATGGGACCAGAAGTTGTAATGTTGTAAATAAAAAGACAGTTAAATTTGTCCCATTGTTTTGTTTCAACTAGCTCACATAAAGCATTAGTTCATTTAAAAATGCCACTGTATTGTACAAACATCTTAATATTTGAAGGAAGAATATCATTACTAAAAATGAAAGATATTATCTCAAGCATACAGCGCCTGACAACCCAGACAGCTGATCAGGAAATATTCCAGGGTAAATGACTGTGAATGAACACTCCGAGGTATTTTTAGGTATGTTTGCTTTTGCTTCCTGGTTTGCAGAAAAATATAATTGTAGCTTCTTGCTTTCTGAAGGGATTTTTGTAGCCTGGAGCTGAGGTTTGGCTTGCAATCAGCATCTGGGCAACACGGCAGAGCCCAGCCTTTATTCTTTTTGCAGAGGTTTGAGGATGCAGTGACACTAGCGGAACAAAGTCTAGTTTCCAAAGTGCCGCATAAGAAACTGGGACCGTTGTGGCTCATAAAGAGATCAAATTAATATTGACCAGAATGGAATTCAGCTTCTTGGAGCGGCTCTCCAAACATAGTCCAGCTTCAAAGTCCTCCATGTCCCATAGTTAAAGCAGATAAACACGTTCTCAGATTTCTTTAAAAAACTATTTAGTATTAGAAGTATTCAGACCCTGTGCTATGGCAGACCAAACTGTCATCAGAAACATCCTTTGCAATGTGTGTAGACCTTGATCATTTAGTTACTCAGCGGAAACGTGGAGGTCATGGCAGTGCGTTGAAACAAAACTTGCAGTCTCCACTGCTCAGCGCCTGTCTAATGCTTTTCTTATGGTGAAGTGCGGGAACAGTGAAGCATGACAGCAGCATCCTAGTATAGACGTGCTATTCAGTGCCTCAATCTTGAGATTAGTCAGCGTGCTAGAAAGGATAAATAGAGCCAAACACACTGAGGTTTGTAAAAGTAATGTGCTTCAGAATGCAGATCTTTGAGCACAACTGGGAAACAGCATGAAGTGACTTCATGACAAGTGTTTGACAGCCCTGCCAAGACTAAAAAGACAACAAAAAGAATGTAAAATTCCTCAGCAAATACGACAATGGCATTTCACAAATGCTTCTTTGTGGAACTCACAAGGGATCTATGAGGAACAAAAACACCTGCTTGAATAATGTCAGTCAACACAAAAAGGCTCGGACATTTTTCATGTGTGTTTGAGGTGAAAAAAAAATCTTAAAAAAAGCAACAATTCTGTACTCAGAAGATACAAATAAAGTATCAATCTGATACCAATACCAGTATATAGATCGATCCTCACACCTCGAGTATTTGAATTTCGTCCTTCCAGACTTACCTGGTCGGTACACCAGTACCATGTGGCCAGTATGGTGAGCCCCAGAGTCATCCCGGGCCAGGGAAGGTCTCCGGTGACGGCGTCTCTGAACAGGTGCATGGCGTCCTGCCGTGGCAGGTGGCAGGTACTGTTGGGAATAATTTTACTTGGTATCGCTCTGCTGTACTGCTCGGCCAGCTGGCTGTAGCCACCAATCTTATTGAAAGCTGTGGATGCACATTTATTGCTGCTGTTGAACAATTATTGATTGATATTGATTCTGCAAATTGGCCCTGCAATACTTTGTGTTTATGAAACAGCACATACCAGTGACTGTTAGGATAATTGCACCAATGAGCATGATAAACGTCTGGAGGGTGTCTGTGTAAATGACAGCAGCGAGACCACCTGAAAAACAGAGATTTTATTTGCGCAAAGAAACAAACAAGTGCCGAGTCTTACGTTCCAAAATATGCAATATGTTTGTCTCTGGGATTTCTGTTTGCATAATAAAATATTAGAATTAACGTTCATCAGAATTGTTGAAATTCTTTAAAAGAGCAAAAAAACGCGAATTGTAATGCACTTTCATATCTACCTGCAATGGTGTAGAGCGCAGTGACCACCAGCATGAGGACGGTAGACAGGTACAGGTTCCACCCAAGACACACCTGAACAAACAAGGCTCCAGAGTACAGGTCAGTCTGGTGAGAGAAACATGCCAGTCAGCGATGTTGGCAAACAAATGAACTCAAATCTGAGACACTTGTACAGTCAGATGGGGTTGTATGTAGGTGTGTTTGTGCCACATAGTCATACTGAAATCTTTGTGAAGACGGACAACATCAGCGAGAGGACAGCCAGGTAGGTTCTGATCCTCTCTCCTCCAAAGCGACGTCCCAGATACTCTGGCATGGTCACGATCTGGACACAAGACAGTTCAACATCTTCAGCGTGCCACAGCTACGCGGAGGAGGCATACTTTAAGAGACAATTTATCCCAAAAGCTACAAAATCTATATATTTTTCTTCATGGCCTGATAGTCTCATATTGCCATTTTGATTATTTTTCAGTGATAATGCAATATCAGTCTGTAGAAGAAAGTGTGAGCTGTCTGGGAGAAAACATTTGTGCATGTGACAGGAAGTAAACACTACTGATGTTTGCTCTCAGCTGCGAGCTTCCCTTTTCTGTGAAATTGCATCACAAGATGTGCCGGGGGGGGGGGGCGGGGAACCCTAAATGACTTGTACAAAAAAAGGACGGGTAGATCAATAAGGTGAAAGTCTATTTATACCACTGACCGCACACAGATCACTTTGATCTGCAGTGGGTCTGACCAGTGAAACTGTGATAAATGTGCAAATTACAGAAAAGGTGCTGGTAGTTCATTGGCCAGACTGTAATTATAAAAATGCATATAGTGTCTTTTTTTAACTACTGCAGAAACAGACATTTCTGTGGAAGGCTGTGGGATCAGTAGGAAAAGTTGTAAAACTTATGAGAACACAGCTCACAGGTCAAAATCTATGCACGTCATAACATTTTCCAAAGCTGTCCAGTGGGCCATCTTTCCCGACCGGTTCTGGTCCCTGTACCTTATGTTTGACACCCCTGATGTGGCTGGATAAATAACCCAAAAGGGAGGAAAAAAATGCGAGTTATGTCCAGTGACCTATTTCCTTAAGAAAACTCTGGATGGATTCAAGATACCGACTATGAAGAAGTTTAGTACGTTCACAACTGTATTTATGACTTTATTTTTTTAAATATATGTGCCAACAAACAATAAAATGAGTACTAAGATGTGTGTGTGTGTGAGTGCTGTGCAGTAACACCCTTCTGGGGAATTTACAAGGCGGGGGAATCCTTGTTGGGGAAAAGCCTCCTGGCACCAAAATGTACCTGCAGAACCAGCCTGAACAAGCAGATGGGTACCTGTGTGAGTGTGTGTGAGTGTGTGTGCATGTGTGTGTTTGTGTGTGCCGACCAACCCCTGAGGAGATGTAGACAGGCACAAATACCCAGGCTAGAGCCAGCAACACATAGGTGGCCTGGGGAGAAGGGGTCAGATAGAAAACAGAGGGGTTTAATGAGAAATCCGCCAGAGTCAGCTCACAGGTCTCTTTATTTAAGACGCATGCTCTGCGTCCACATAGGACAGCTATGCTGCTGCTGCCCCCTGCTGTAAGCTGCCTGTTACAGCTGAAGAAAGGAAGACATTGAAATGACAAACTTTTGTGGTCTAGACAGCCATGTTCATATTAGGTAAACTTTCTGTTGTAAAGCAGGTAATTGCAACTGATGTTATTTTTATTTAGCTGCAAATGTCATATGCCCCCCCTCCTTTTGTCTAGTCAGCACACCACAAAAGAGACAAGTTGTCGAAGGATTAGCAGGCTTGTTCTGCTTCATTCCATGCCACAATGCATTTAATCACCATTAACAGATACAACAAAACAGCATTTCGTATTGTTTTGATGAGCACGCATGTTTCTCTGACTGCGGTTTTGTGTTTCTCACATTCCATTCAAAGCCGGTGACAGCGATGCCTCCGGCAGCTCCCGTCCCCGCCAGACCGATGAACAGACCTGAGCCCTCTGAACTGGCAAAGAGAGACGATCCAATCTGTGCAAGACAGAAGAAAAGGTCTGGAGGTTTTACTGCAGAAAAACTCTGCTGCAAACACCTGACCTACATGCAGAGTTTGTGGACTTGATGCTTGTGCTCAAAATGATGGAAAATCTTCTCAGAGGGTTCAAAACTTTTCTTTTTTTAAACCTGCAACTGTAGCATGTCTTCCTTCATTTCTCATGTAGCCTCATTAACGTCAGTGTTTATCATCACATTGTTATTTACTTAATGAGAAACAGTTTCCGTTAAGCATAAGTCTACCAAGTCTCTCTTAAGTTCAGAACCCAGCTTGGCCTTACAGTTTTAGCTGTAAGGGGTGGCTGAATTTTAGTAAAACAAGGAGAACTGATTTCTACATTTTTCTATCCCCCCACCCCCACACACAAAAAATCCACCCTTTTAACTGCCTGTAAGAACCATACAACTGTTTACTGATGCTTGATTGACAGAACAAATCTACCCAGAAAGTTGTGTATCTCCTAAAGTCAGTGTAGCCTACATCTATCACTTTTACCATCTGTGAAAACTAAAATCAACTTATTGCAGGTCACGCTTTATTTCCACAGTTAATGTCAGATGGACTCACCGGCCACCAGGCCATGTCCCTCCCAGCCAAGAAATATCCACTCAGTGTGTTTCTGCTCACCCTGCATGAGGACTGACACACAAACTGATTTGCACAAACATCCAAAACGAGCTGAATTAGTAGAACGGCACAAATTCATTCACGCCTCTCGATTCTTACCCAGATGCCAACAGCGAGGTTGAGAAGAAAGTAGGTCGCAATGACAATGATGTCTGAGAAGCTGAAAGACTGTGACAGGGCGTAGAAGCTGATGGTGGAGTTAGACATCCTGAGCGTTCGCAGCACTGTCGAAAGGTTCCCTGCGGCCACACACACCTGTCCGCCTCTGCGATTAGATTCTCATCTGACGCTGGAACTTTGCAAACACCATAAACTCGAGAAGAAGATGATACACACCCTAAAAATCTGCAAACCCTTGCCTTTAAATGCTCACTTCCCATCCAACGCACTCACGCTGTCAAACACACACACCTGGCCCTCGCCTGCGAGCTGACTGGTCTGCTACCAAAACATCTCGAGGCACACTGTTACATCTGAGTGTGAAGAGGGCAGACCAGTGGCTGAACTGATGATTAAACACATCACCTTAATGTGGCACCTGAAGTGCTGACACACACACTCTGCTAGGGGATAATGGAGTGCACAGTGTGTGCGAGCAGGGAAGTACTGATGTAAATCAGAGTCCACGGTGACACACACACACACACACACACACACACACACACACACACACACACACAGATGGTCAATCATTGCCGATGACAAGTTTATAATCATTAGCGTCTAAACACACAAAAATCTGTTCTGGGAAGTGCTAAGCAGGGTCAGTGGAAGTGTGTGAGAACGTGTCTGAGCTGTTTATGGTTTCATCCTGATATCTTCAGGAGGTGATACAGTAAATAAGACACCGTAGAGGCCTTTCTTTACAAAAGAAGATGCTGGAAATGCTGGAAAAGTGCCACAAATGGATAATAAATATAGCGTATCCTTCTTACAGCAGCTATTCTGATGAATAGTAGTAGTTTAGTTCATTCTGTCTATAGTATAGTTCACACACCTGGATGCTTTCATATCAGACCCCTAATTAATGCTTACCTGTTACTTCATGGCAAATTTGCTGCTGTAAAATCTGCCTGTGCTACAGTCTGTAAAAACTCATTCACACAAACATTTTTTAAATGTGTGTAAAATTTGTATTTCCCTTTTTACATAAATTATTTTGAGTATGAGATCCTAACAAATGGATAAAATGAAGAAAAAAAAAGGATTTGCCTCATTGTGCAGGTCATGAGATTGTAAAAATGTATTTAGGCTTAAATTTTAAGTGGCAGTGTGAGCAGGAAACCATATGTCACTAAAAGCTGAATGCAGCGGCCTGGATTTGACTTTGACCTGCAGCCCTCTGCTGTATGTCCTCGCCATTCTGTCTCTTCCTGTCTGCTCTCCACTGTGCTGTCATTTATTTATTTATACTGGGTACATAAATGCAGACATCGGGTGGTTATAGCTCAGGAGGTAGAGCAGGTCGAGTCTGCACGCCAAATATCCGGGGGCAAGATGCTGAAATAGGTCATCGCACATGAGAATATGAACGTGTAAGAAACCCCTTAGGTAGACAATAAAGTGCTTGTACGAACCAGGAAAGTTGTATAAAGTGCTTTGATTGCTCAGGTAGACTTTTCAGGTAGAGTATAAATGCACTATATGAGAATCATTTGCCATTCATATCTGAACAGTAGCACATATTTTATAATCTTGCCTCTGTACACCACCACAGCAGATTTTAGATTAGTCGATCGAGATGTGCCTGAAGTTTAGAAATTACAGGTGTTTTTAATTCACAGTCCCCATTTTCAGAGGTTGAAACTTAATGGGACAATTGACTGAGAAACAGCTTAATGGCCAGGTGAAATCTGCTCTTTTGCTAATTCATGATACATTAAGTATATAGAAAGAGTTGATACAAAAAGCAGAACTTGCATTTGGTAGCTGTTTACTGGAATTCTTGATGTGAGGTCCAGAGAGACGTTGATGCAAGTGAAGCAGGCCATCGTTAGGTTTAAAATCCAAAATGAACCAAACGAAAAAGAGATGACAAAAACTTTACAAGTGACCAAATCAACTATCTGGTTCATTTTCAAAAAGAAGGAATGCAGCGGTCAGCTCTGCAGCACCAAGAACGCCCGAAAGACCACAGAAGACAACTAAATTATGATGAATGATGTGGAAAGACAAAGAGCGTGTGAAATAAAATAGATCTGGAGGTATGATAAGTGAAGGAAACAGTTTATGGTGAGACTTCATCCAAGAATGAAAAACAATCAAATTATCAGTCAAATTGTGTTAGTCTGTGCATCTTTGATTAACTACATAAACTCTACTGAGGTGGTTCAGAGAAAATATGTTTAATTTTCAAAAATCATACGGACCTGACTGCAGTTTTTAAAAGCTCTATTTTTTCTCAAATACATGTATTTTTCAATTTTAGTGTTTATTTTTCTCCACCTTTCTTTCATCAGTCATCATCAGTTTGGATATTTCATCCGTATAAAGCCAGCGCTGTATGAAGAGTTCTGACCTTTACTGTTTCACACACTTGTTTGTAGCTATGCTTTCTGACATGTTTGCTTTTGCTGGCCTCACAATGAAAAAGCCTTTTCTCTGAGCACACCTGTACATTTTTCATCGGTGACAGCATGAAAGGATGGAGAAGTCCAAGAGTGGGTGTCAGGGAGAGTTTATCGGTCTTGCTTTTGTGCTCCCTGATGTGAAATTAACTCAGTGTCACACACAAGCCGCTGGCCGGTGTTTGTCCGCTATAAGGAGCAGATGGCGATGATGGAGACGGCCTGACGTCACGCACACCATCATCATTAATCTCTCTCTCACACAGAGCCACACAAAACCCCACTCTCACACTCGCAAAACACACAGCAACAGGTAACAGAAAGCCCACCAGTCACGTTTTAAGAAAATATGACTTAATTAAGTTTCCACTTGATGTAAATTTGTTTGCAGTTTGTTTCAAGCTTTTGGTGTTAAAAAGCAGCAAACTGAGAAAACGCATAGAAAAAAGTATATAAGAAGATATCAGAAGGTCTATTATTTGTAATATTCACACATGTGGATGTTATAACTTGTGTTTCATGAGTTTTAACAGTGCAGTGCATTGTTTACAGTGGAAATATGACCTTATAAAATTAAAAATAACTTATTAATATACAATATTACCATGTGCAACATCATATGTGGTATTGGTAAAAGCGATAAGAATAACTGGTGTCCATAGAGGTCTGTGTCAATGTATGTGTGAATGGGTGGATGACTGGATATGTAAAGCGCTTTGGGGTCCTTAGGGACTAGTAAAGCGCTATATAAATACAGGCCATTTACCATTTACCATTAATAATATAGTAATGAATAAAGAAAATCTTCTCTAGGGCTGGGAGATAGACTTTGATGTCAACACTAGTGCATTTTATTGGAATACTTGCAAGTTTGACGGCATTTTAACTAAATATGTGCAGAGTTAGTTGATGTTATGTTATGTTGATGCAGGAAATGAACACATCCGAGCTATGTCACTAAAGAGAAGTGACAGCGCCACCCTCTGGTCAAATAAGCAGAAACAAAGTTTATCTATTTGAAATTGAAACGATTCTGCTTTAAGGGAGACAGCTTGGCACACATTTAGTCGTACTGTTACAGGGAAATATCGGCATTTTTTTTTTCAGATATTCAGATCATTTAGCTAAGTAGTGTATGACGGGAAATAGGAAAGAACTGCGATAGCCAATCAGGAGTGAGGGCAACGGACTGACCCGGATGTAATACTTCATAACAAAAAATTTGCCGGGAACTCGACTGTGCCAAAGCTACTGTCGAAGCTGAGAAAGAAGCTATCGGGGGAAATATATTTTTCCTGATTATTTAGCCGCCGTGTCTCGGGTTTTATCGGACCAGGCAAAATGGACGAATACGATGAACTGTTCGAGGTACAGGACGACTTCGAGGAGCAGTTTGCCGACGAGCTGGAGGTGCTGGCTGAGATGGAGGGTGAGGAGATGGAGGGTGAGTCCAAAACACTCAAGTTACCAAAAGGGTAGCTAGCCTATGATTCAACTGTTAAATCGCCGAGCTACTTCTCGGAAACCGTCGTAGAAAAGTGGAGTTTTTGTTTAGGAGTAGACTTAATTTAGGGCTGCTTTGCTTTTGAACAGTGCGGCTCTTGAGGTGCGTTTAAATGGCTTTCAGGATCTTTGGGAAAGCTGTGTCAGTGAGTTCGGATCGAGCAAAACGCAACAAAAACAGACTCCGGGTAGAATAAAAAGAAATAGAAGTGCATACATTCAAGCTACAACATAATAGCACAAGATAAAGAAAAATAATAAATATAATGAAAATAGAGTTTGAGATATCTGTACAGGTGCAATAAAAAGTAGAGTTTGCAAATAAGACTTAGAGGCAGTGATTCTACACTCACCCGTATATGTAGATATGTGAACGCACACATCTAGATATGTGTAGCTGTGACTTTATAAAAGTAAAAAATATTAATAATATACAGTATGTGTGTAGATATGTGAACACACATATCTAACCAGCTAGTCACGTCGTATCAATTGAATGCATTTAGGCATGTAAACACGGTCATGTATTCCAGAAACTGCTGATCTACTGGGGATTTCCTGCACAGCCATATTCAGGGTTTACAGAGAATGGCCCAAAAAAGAGAAAATACCCAGTGGCAGTTTTCTCTGTGCCTTTTTGATGCCAGAGGTCAGAAGAGAAGGGGCAGACTGCTCTGAGCTGATAGGGAGATAAGTTGTTATTTGTATTATTGTTATTACAACAAGGTATGCAGAAGAGAATCTCTGCAGATCTGCATCAAACCTCGATGCAGATGTGCTACAGCAGACTTCACTTCTGTGAACTAATAACGGGAAAATGAGGCTGCACTTCACACGGGCTCATCATAACTGGAGAGTAGAAGACTGGAAAAATGTTCTCTGCTGTGACTTCAGTTGCTG